ACCATACAGTTAAAGAGCACAACATGCACATGTATGCATGTGTTCCAATGAATGTGTATGCATGAATACAAATGCACACACTTACTAATATATCTATATCTGGATATATTTATATCTCTGGCATTTGCCATCTGTTGGGAGTGTAATACCATGAACAAGCATCTGGCACTGTTTGATATTGTAGGGCCTTTTGACAGCTGATGCTAGGGAATGCTGTACCTTTGGGGATTAAGGAGTAATTAATTAGGACAAAGAAAACATACTGCAGAACATAAGATTCCTATGTTGAAAGCAAGAGTTTTGAGGTACTCTTTGATTTAGTTTTCATCTGGCCTACAGCCTAAACCCAAACCTAATTTGAGGTGTTTGGAGAAATCCTCTTGTCATGTTTAGGGCAATTTAAAAGTGAAATATATAAGCTGTTAATAACTTCACTTGTTAATTCCACATCCAAGATTGTCCAAGTATTGAATTACAAACACTGAACACAGGTAAGAGAGAGAGTCACTGAGGAAAAGTTCCAGAGAAATAGGCTGCAATGGGTAGAAGGGGGTGTCACATGTACCATATGGTGTGCTGTGGGTTACCCATGGATTAACGGGTACAAAGCATTGCAAACAGATGTGATATTCAAGATATTCAGAGACAAAAATGTTTTCTTGGTTATCAGGTAGAATTATTCATTGGCCTCCAGTTTAGAAAGTGCTTAAATCATTGCTACGTTTATTGCACTCGCTCAGCAACCTCCAAGGGCTTTTTTTTGTTCATCTGTCTTTGCAACTCTTTGCTGCGTGAAAAGTGAGATTGAAACAAGCAGAGCCTTTTGGAATATTATTTTCTTCTGTTTCCAGAGCAGATCAATTCCATGGTGTGGGATATAAAACAGGTTTAGCAAAGGAAAAACTGCCATAATGCAGGGCAGAGGCACCTTTCACTGCTTTGCTGTTATGCATTACTTTACGAGTGAATTAGTCCAAATGGTAACAAAGTACTGGGTATAGTTTGGAGACATATAAAAGATTATCTTCCTCTAAGGATAAGGGGAGAGTGAATCAGTTGCTGTTCTCTAGAGCTGGCAAACTGAGAAAAGGCATTTGAAACCAGAAATATATTCAAATTCATGAAAACTGTAAGGAGGATATAAATTGTAAGCAAATAATATGGTCTGTTTACTATGCATGTATATATATGCAGACATTCACATACGTTTTTATTTTCATTTCATACAACCATTTGGTTCCTAGCAGATATCAAGTGAAATCCACATCATCACTAGTTTCAGAGATTTCCATTTTGTCATCTTGTTTAATAGTTTCCAGGATGATATTCTGGGGATTTGGGTGTTTTGTTTTTTTTTAGCAAGACTAACTCTGTGCGGAATTTCACAGTGGAATCGTATCCTGTTCTTTCAACTAAATGGCATACATTTTTAGAAAAAGATTATTCCACTATTATAAAACATGTCCAAAAAAATAAACCTTACTGGGGTTACATACACATATGCAGCCGTCTTTAATTATTCCCACGGAATTCAATTTAAATTGTGTATCACCTTTAATTTCCCAGGTTTCTCTTTCAGAAGGCTTTTGTTGATCTCTCTTGTCATCCTTACTATCTGCACCACCTGACACTTGCATCTAAAGCAGAGCTAGTACAGCTGCACATCACCCTACTGCACATTAATTTGTGAGTCAGCACCGTTACTTGAGTCCTGCATAAATTTCTCAGAGGAGTGTTGTGAGACCAGGGGACTAGGCCATTGGAACTAGCTCAGCTCCTCAATGATGTGTGAAAATATTTATTATGCTCAGGTAAGTGGATATCTATATATCATTTTGCCAGTCGCTGACATGCAGTTGTGCTCAGAAGTGGAGCAAGTGCCTGCAGCAGCACTAAAGAAAAATAAGTTGAGTGAGATGCACACATGAAAACGGAGGCAAAAGTTAGAGATTGGTCAGATGGGTGTGTGGAGCACCTTGGCATCACATTTAAGCATTAGCAGTCAGGTCACAGATTCAGAATGTAACCCAAAACACAGAGCTGTCTTCAGCAGCTCTCAAAGAGGTAAAGGGGAAGCCACAGGATAAATTCAAAGGTCTGCTTAGTTGGCTGTGTAAGTAGGGCAGTGGCTGGTTGCACCTGAAGAATGATCATAACCCAGGAGATGCCCAGGAACTGGTATCACCAGGCTAGGCTGGCTCCATCCCTCCCTCAGGGCTGGACACTTGCTGACTCGCTGTGGGGCTCCCTACCTCCCCTGTGAGTGCCTGAGTACTTGTCCTCCCACATGCTGTGAGTACCAAAGGTGATTGCTGGGGGCTTGTTTCATTTCGCTCAGTATTTGCAAATTTGCTGATGTGGATTGAGCCTCATTCATTAAAGCTAAATGAATTAAAATAATGATTAACAGTAATAAATGCAGCTGTTAGATTGTGGACTTTACTACCTGGGCTTTTTGGCAACTATCCATTATTTTAAAACAGCATCTGTTGACTTTACTTCCTCTAATCTTGTATGAGAAAGTGAAAGAGATGTTTTCCTTTTTAATAAAGAAAATAGTATATAGCATATGATATTGCTTTTGAAAATTCATAGCTGCATATGCTATCAATATTGATGACAAATTCAAGGGCTACATTAAAAACAACCCATTGTCATGCTCAAAGAGAATCAGCAACATAATAGAAAAGTCCAACCTTACCACTGTGTAACAAGAAAAGAAAATAATTACATGAACATCTTTAAGAGTCTTCACTACAACATAAATGTAAATGTCATTACTGGTTAATATGAAGGTGCCATCTGGACAGTTGGGTGATGTAGATTCTGGCACTAGAGGTGTCATTCCTCTTGGAAAACATGAGAAAAGCAGAGATTTTTAAAGATAATGCAAAGAAAATTTGACTGGATCTCTTTTGAATATATTGATGGTGATGGTGAACAATAACCAGAGCAAAAACCTATTCAGGTCCTAAACCTAAAAAAGGATTCCTCTTACTTGTGCAGGTTTAAAATATGTTAGTGATGATACAGATTTGTATAAATCTAACCACAGGAAATGAGGTGAAATGCCTTTTTACAAGATCTTTTCTCATGTATTCCAAAAAGGTAGGTATTTCTTGATTCCTGCTTTGACGGAAAGAGAAAGCGAACATCTAAATTTTCAAGATATTTTAAAAAATAATTCCTTAGGTTTCAAAACAGAACACAGAAGAGTAAATAAATGAAAAACAAGTACTTTTCCCCAAGAATGTTTTTTACTGTACATTTTGTAGCAAAAAAAAACAAAACAAAAAAAAAGAAAATAAAGGAAAAATTTTCTGATCACAGGGATGTCATTTTCTAAAACTCCAAGTAGGAAACGTGACAAATACAAGATAAAGTACACAGCCATGTCACAATATATCTCTGGACCTTTAAAAAAAATATACATAGAATTTTTTTCATGTGTTATTTTCTCTGCGCCTTGCACCCGTTCCACACGCCTTTTACAAAATCATAGTAACAATGTGCAATTTCAGAATGGTTCCCAGCAGCTGATCACAAATAAATAACAAACAAATGAAAGGGCAATTGCAGTAGCCACCAGAATGCTGGAAATCACAGTAAAGTCGTTAAGGATAATGATGTCAAATGGGTGGGTGATGAGCATTTGCACAACCACAGCAATGCTCCCCAAACATAAGGTGAGAAACAGTGTCCATGCCCTAAAGAGCTCCTGTTCTTAGCAAGGACGTTAGTGAGGGTGACAGACGGGAGGGCAGAAGTATGCTGAGAACTGGGGAAAGGCTATCTGTAATGCAGGGGACACATGGGAGACCCCCTGCTCTGAGACAACTAGATTTACCTTGCTTTTTGTGGCTAATTTGGAACATACCCAATTCCCTGAAATACTCAAAATCTTACCTATTTCCTGTGATGCTACTGATAGTCAAGCCAGATCATGGTGACTAGACAAAGAGCTTTTGTCATAATAGGGTAAAAGTCTGTGTTTTCTTTGTCAGCTGAACAGTGACAGTGTGGTCTTTGCCAGAAGCCATTAGTATTAATAATGCGGAGAGTTCATGGGAGCTACTTTCATTTTCCCTTTCTTTATCCTTTAAAAGGAAACCTTGGTTACTATCTTCCCTATCTTTGACAGCAACACTCCTACAGATATCAACAGCTGCTGCAATCTGCCTTAAGCACTGACCAGCAAAGACTATGAAGAAGATGGAAGAAAGAAGATGATTTTTTTTTTTATTTATTAGCCCCTAGATACACTTTTTCCTAGGACATAAAGGGGAGCATTGGAGGCGAGTTATGCAGTACATCAGAAACTTGACCTTTGTACATATCCTCCTTTTCATCTTAAGGATTTGATTAGACTGAAAACAAAACCAAAATGAAAAATAATGCATAGAAACATATTTTCTGTTGTGGGGAAAAAGCAACTCAAAAATAGCAACAAGGCAAAACAGAAGAGAACTCATTAAATTAGAACCAAAAGCCCACTAAACAACAAGTATTGTTTTCCCAGATGTCACAGCTAACACCATGAGATTATGCTGAACAATTTGCTCTGATCTGTCCCTGTGGATGCCCTGCCTGCACTTTTGAGAAAGTCACTTGCAATGACAACCAGATCTATCCTAGCAGCAGTCCACAGAATTCTACTTCTATGGTTAAAAGAAAAGAGGTGCCCTTTAAAAACCAAAAACAAAACAAACCCTGTAAAATTTAATTTATGCTGTTAAACTTCTTCTCTTCCTCCCTGCTTAATGGTTCACCAAGAGTCTGAATAACTTTTGGAAAGCAATGTTAAATAAAACTACCAAATTCCTTGAAACATTCGCTCATGATTTAGTTGGGGCCAGACCCTGTTATTTATTTGTTTACTTATCTTTTTGGCCAGTACAACTGAAAATGTTTCTTCCCCTCTCTTTCCAAATGCATGGCCCTGCAGCAAACCACGCTTTATAACACATGAGGGAAGAAGAGGAGGGGGGAGACACTGATATTTACACTGTGCTTTCCATTACCCACTCTGAGCTCCCAAAAGTCCCTTTTGCCCCTGTTAGGTCATTGTCATCATACTGTAAAAGCATGCCATTCACCGAGAGGCTCCTCTTTGTCCAAATGTTTGTTATCTTTTTTGGGTAGGTGCAACACTGAGATGTGGCAAAGTCCCCCATGTCAAAAGAATGGCTACGTTTAGTTTTGCCCTCCAGAGGCAACATGAGGAGGCTGCGAAATTTGGACTCCGGCTGGCCCAGCAGTGGCTCTTTGTCCGAGTGGCGGGCCACCGTGGAAGTTCTGGAGTCTGTCATCTCCTCCTTTTTCTGACATTTCAGTTCCAGAGAGGCAAAAGCTCCCATTAGCCGGTCAATATTGTGTTTTGACCTGGAAGGAGGCCTCCATTTACTGGACAATGTGCCCTGTTCACTTTGGAGGCTATAGTCATCACAGTCACGGCTGTTTGCAGAGCTGGAGGAAGAAGAGATACTGCTCCGTGCAGACTGACAGTTGAACTCCATAAGTTCGTTTCTCACCACCACTTTGGGGTTGACTTGGGGCAAGACTCCATTCTGAACTGGTTGTGCTCCATTTGTCTGTGAGTAGACATTGCTGACGTTAGACATCTTCCCCTGGGAATTGTTGCAGACCTTATAGCGGACCATAAGAATTACAATGAATACCAACAGAGTTGCCACAATGATGCCTCCAATGATCAGAATCATGGTGCCACCCAGGAACTGACTGTGCATCGACTGGCACTGAGGGTAGTCTTCTTTGGTGAAAAACTGAGCACATCCTACAATATTGGTGGCAGTAAGGGTTGTAGCCGTGTCATCCCACATTGCCAGGACACAGAGGTCATAGCCTGTTCCCGAAACAAGGTTGTTTACAACAAAGGCTTTGTTTGTAGCTGGAATCATCCTTAAAAAAAAAAAAAAAAGGGAAGAAAAGAGAAAAAAAAGATTACTTTTGACACTAAGGGAAAAGAGAGGAGAACAGACAGAAGAACAGTGTGGTGTTTACTGGTGTTTACTGTTCTGGGTACTGACAGAGAGGAGCAGAGCCATAAAATTCAAACAAGCACTCACGTTTCCCAACTTCTGTGGGTCCAACATCCCACATTCAAAACTGCAGAAGTTTTGAGGGCCATCTCTCAAACGTGCAATAAAAAGAATAGGAAAAAACAAACCAAACTAGTCCAGGTCTTGTATTTTTTTTTTTTCTCCTCACTTTCATCTGTCCTAATCTTAAACATTAAATTCTGAACAAATAACTCAAAATAAAATATGTGCCTACAAGGAGCAGCTCTTCCCGAGTGTGCAAATGACTCTTGCACTTGCTGAGTCCGAACCTGACAGTTGTGAGAGCACTTCATGCGTGACTGAACACTTACTGACTAACACCAGCAGGTTGCTTTCCTGGTGAAAACAACAGGCTACATTTAGTTTTCTCGTTCCCTGAGAATGCAACACAGGCAATCATTTCTCTCCACTCTCCCACCTACTTTTCCCATCCTGCCCACTGTGGAAAATCTCCTAGAAATGGAGCTATCATATTCTTTGCCAGAAATTTTTCACTGCAACCACCTTCCTCTGTGTGGCTTAAAGAAATACTGGCATTGGCAGTATGGGCTACGGAAGCATGAGGAGAGGTAGAAAGATGCAGGGATGGAAAGAAGAAAGTTTCTTTAAAATAAAAAAAAATATAATCAAATACATATCAAAAATCCTTAAACCAAATAGCTAGGCCCAAGCTGTGCTCCAAGTTCGATCAATTATGGATATTATACTTCGCTGTCAGAAAACGTAAGTAGTCCTTTGAACTCATGAAATATTAGATCATCACTAGCATTCAAAACAAGCAGATAGGAATGAACATGGTCTAACCCCACTTCAAACTGGTTAAAACTGCAGCACGTTAGTGGAATACAGCGGGGACTCCCAGGTACGGTGCCTGCTGAGTAGCCAAGAAAAAAACCCAAAGAGATGTTCCATGCAAATTTCTCTTTACTTCCACATAACAGACCTGAGTGAGAGAAAAAAGCTGAAATTAAACCCAGCCCATTCTGACTTACAGCTACAGATCTTTAGCACCAGCAACAAGGGAGCCTTACAGGCACTTACACCACACACCAAGCTGGTGGTGACTGTAATTGGGATAGTAAGGCCTGGCCAGAGTAAAAAGGCAGACTCCTTGTGGAGTGCCAGGCTTTCTTAGCCTGAAAATGTCATCACAACTAGCATAAATGGCAGCTCTGCAGAGGTCCTTCTGCGCAGTGTGAGGGAACAGGCCTGTGCAGAGAAGCTGCAACACCAAGGTGCTGAATAGATGAGCTTCTGATCATCTTTGCATTTATGCATTCATGCCACTTATACAACCCTTCAGTCTGGACACAGGTGAGGATGTGGCTCCTTTTTAAAAAGCAAACAAACACACCAAAAAAAAAAAAAATCTGTAAGGGAAAGAAATATCAATGAAAGATACCTGGAATATAAACATCACCTGGCAGGTTTACTTAATGTTATGTTTGAGGTTCTGGGCACATTAATCATCCTAATGGAGATGTTTGGCATAGACATAGATGAGCTATTCAGAATGACAGGTCATAAAGTAGCCTTCCTGGAAAACTCCAGATAGAGTTGCTAAAATGGTTTTTAACAGTTGAAATGTTTGGTCTCATGTTCTTTCTAAATGGTCTCCTCTCCCTGGAGCTATGAAAACAACGCACCTCCGGCCACGACAGCTGGGGCAATGCCTGCACTCTGTTGAATAGTTTGAGACATTTCATATGCAAACACCAAGGATGATATATGGAATAACAGAATGTTATTGATCATCAAATGTATGATCTTCAAACTCTTGAACAGTTTCACCAATTGCTTTGTATCTCCATCTGTATCACCTAGTGCTATACTCCACTTAACACTACCACTCCCAGTCATGTGCTTAAAAAATTCTGCAGTGTGTAAGTTGTTCAGAAATTATTTCACTGTGAAACCTTATTACAAACAAGTAGCACTGTTAGCAGAAACAATAATCAGCCCTATAAACTGGGTCTCGGACTTGGGTCATAACTCTCGAAAAACAGAGCAATAGCACCGTCTGTTAGAGCGATTTCTTTTGTTTTGCACTCATGAAACACAGAGAGACCTCTACATTCTCTCCAAGTGAACAGCAAACAACTGGATTTACATAGCATATAGCTTTGCCTGTATCTTATGTGTATAGAAATGCAGTCTTTCAGACCGTATTTCAGACATGTTAACTGTATAGAGTGAACACTGGTAACTTCCACCATTTACAACTTGCTTTCTTCTAATACAAATATACGCATGCTACCAGGGAAATGTAACTGCCTGGTATATTTCATGAACTGGCAGGCAGTGATAGTGGCATGAAAGGTAAAGCCATTCCATTTAAAAATGTACGGTAGTAAGGCCATAGCCAGTCCTAAAGCTTGGCCAGGTTAACTACACTGAAGCTTGCCATAAAAGCTTATCTTAGCCTTTAAAAGAAACTGAGTCATTTCTAAACTCAATCAGTCCTGGAAGCTCCAGCTGTGATAATATTGGGACTAATAATAGCTTTATAAAAGATCACAGTTGCAATCTCAATTATGGAAAAAGCAATCAACTCGCAATATACATCAAAAATGAAGAATTTTGGATGTTTCTATAAATAAACTTCAAATGTTCTTGTAAAATATTCAGATAAATGTTATTGTCAAAGAACAGCTGAGCATAGGAATAAGCACCAAGTTCAAGAGTACTAGGAGTTAAGTAATTAAACTCAGACTTGGTTTTCTAGCTTGCAGGGAAGACAATCTTGTTTTCATGAAGTTGCTAAATTATAAGAGTATTTTGGGACTCCTCCATGCTTTAGCCCACCCTTCCTAAACATACTGCCAGCCAGCTATGATGGATGACGTCTCTTAAAATTCCCACACTTAAAATCAATGCAGACCCATTTTCACTCTGGAATATTGATGACTCTTCAATTGTCCCTAACACAGGTAGCTGCAAGATGCCACTTCAATCTTCGCTTTGCTGCCTAGCAGAGGGAGTCTCTTTATAGCAAGTCTGTACATGTAGCACCATTAATCAAGGACCACCATGTCCTGCCATTAGGACTCAATAACTAGGAGCTGCCACAGAACTAAAAAGGGTCATTAAAACTGTGTCTAGGCAGGCATTCTGCAAGGCTTTGTTCATCAGCTAAACACAGAAAGTTGGTTCCAGATAGCAAGAATCTGTACCCTGGTTCATTGAAACCAAAACTAGCTTTTGAAAGTTGTTAGCTTTTGAAACTTGTAAGATCCTAGCACTCACTTTTTAGCCCTCAGATAGCAAACATACTTAATTGTAGCAGTATCTTAAGGCAAGTAGCCCAATACCATCCACCTGCTCTTCAGCACAGTGTGATCTTGCAGAGATGCTTCTTGTCACAGAAGAGAAATAGACATCTAAATTTGATACTAGCCTTTCTTTAGGGAAAAAAAAAAAGTGAGAGATGACTAACTGCAAGAAGAGATCAACTAGCAAAACACTTGCTTACTTATAAACCAATGGTAGATTATGATAGGTTTAATGCGAACAGTTTAAGGAGTCCGGGAACAGTGAGAACTGGGAATGCAGATGAATATTCAAATATGTTAACCATGTAAATGTAAATGTAGTCCTAGCTGGGACAACAAGAAATATGAAAAACTCCCTTTAGCAAAATTCACTATCCAGACACTGTCTTTCTCCTCTGTTTTATTTTCCTTCGGGTAGGAGGAGAAGGCAAATCTCCTCCATGTTGGTGTCAGGATTTTGCTGCCTTATTCTTAAGCTTTCCAAATCCTATTTGAAGGTCAAAATACTCCACGGAAAACTATTCATATAAGAATGTGGTTCTGACCTCTCTGAAAACCTTGCCTCGAAGGAATGAAATGAACATAGGGGTATTACAACTGACCTTAATTTACAAAAAAAAAGCCCTCTTCTCTTGCCCTTTGGCACAATGGCATCACTTATTGGAAAAGGAGGAGATCTATGGCCAGAATTAGAGCATGGCATAAGTACCTGAAATAGAAAAGCAATAGACAGATGCTCCTATGAGAGTTTACGTGTGATGAGGTGCTATGCAGCCAAGATGAAAGTTTTCAGGGTTTTTGCAAACAATACGTTCTCTTCAATCCATGGAGATTTATGTCTCATTTTGTGAAAACACTAAAGTGAGATCATAAGACCCTTTTTAAAAAAAAGGATAGTGCTAGTACCCTTCTTTGAAGTCAACCTTGTTTTCTACCACCATCACTAGAAAGTCTTTGCTATGTCCTTGGAGACACAACATACAGAAAGCAAGTAATTTTGTAATTACTCACTTCAGTGTGTGGTGATATTAAAAAATTAGAAAATAAATTAGTTAGAAATGCAGGAGAAAAAGGTTTGCTGCAGACTTCACTCATAATCCCAGGTGCAAGCGAGCACTGAAGCTTTCAGGGAGTGAACTGTACTGAGAATTTAGGAGACTCGAATGTTATTCTCTGCTTTATCAGTTATACTGATATCAGGCTCTACTTTACCAGTAACTCAGTTCCTGAGAAATCATTTTGTTGTACTATAAGTCTTCTCATTTATAAAATGGGGATAATGCCAGCAATCTTTCAAAAGAGGCCTGTACTGTATGGGAGGAAATTAGTAGATATTATGATTACGCTGTAATATACAAATGGGTTCTTTTCTTCTCTGTAGCACTGGGGATTAGCAGGAGTGAACTGCTGGTTAATACTGTGGTTATGCAAAACAGACAAATTAAAGAAAAGACAGATTAGACTAATTGGCTAGGCAATTCTATTCCTTTTCTCTATGCAAGAAGAATATGATACCATCTAGTTTTAGCCTGAAACTGCTTTAATCATAGAACTGGCAGGGAGCTGT